GGCTGAGCGAGGGGCGGGCGCAGCGCCGAGGGTTGCGATCCCGTTGCCGGTCCCGGTCCGGTGCGGGCGCGACACTGAGGGTTGCAGTTCGTTGCCGGACACGAAAAAAAAAAAAAAAAAAAGTGTGATGGGAAGCCACTAAAAGGTTTTAAATAAGGGGAAAATGATCACGTTAGTGTTCGCAACAATCCCTCTGCGTGGAAAATAACGTGTCAAGGGGATGGCATGGAATCAGGGAATCAGGGTGACTAGGTGAAACGTTATGAAAGATGGACGAAGTGGGTGCAGTTCAAGAGATTCGGGAGGTGAAGACGGCAACGCTTGGTGGCCGGCAGTATGCTTCCGCCGTCTGTTCCTCAGGTGGCTCAGCAGGCCATTTGTGGTTGGGGCTCCCTCCTATGGCTGGCTGGCTGGATGTCCTCATGGAACCCCCCTCTTGTTCTCCTCTTGACATGAGCATTGCTGGGGAACACCCTAGAGGAGTCCTGGGAGGCTCCTGGGCAGCGGGTCCAGCCAGCTGGGTCCACCTTGTCCCGGACAGAGGCTGGTTGGTTTTGCAGCAGTTTGTTGGTTTTTCTGCTGCCCCCAGTGAGGTCCCAGAGGCGTGTTTCCAGAGCGCTGGGCACACCATCTTCTGCTTGCTCGGCTCTCCCCTGTGCTATGTCCGTTCTGCCTCGTGGAGACAGAAGGACTAGGGTCGGAGGCTGCCTGACTTGAGTGTGTGTCAGGCTCTGCCACTGGAGTCTGTGGGATCATGGGCAAGTCGACCGCCTCTAGGTTCCCCTCGGACTGAACCCCAAACCCCTCTCATCCCTCCCCCCACGGTCTCTCCAGTCCAGCCTTGCTGTTGTCCCACCCAGCCTCTATCTTTGTTCCCCGAGCATGGCACGCCCTCCTCTCCCTCCTTAGGCCTTTCACGGCCTGTCCTCTCTATTGGCCACCATCTCCACACCCACCTTGCTGAGCGCTGCTCATCCTGCCTTGGCTTCTCTGCCCCCTCCCTATATCCATCTAATTCCCATTCTCCCCAGGATTGCTCCTGTAAGACTCCTTTGCCGTAACTCTCAGCATTGTGGTTCTTTGTCTAACACCCGTCTTCCTCATCTGACTATAAGCTCTGCGAGGGCAGAGACCCTCTCCTGTGCACCTTTGTACTTACACAGTGCCAGGCACATAGCGGATGCTCAGTTAATGCCCATTGAGTGGTTGACTGACTACGTGCTCTCTAACATTTTTTCCAGCCCCCCCAAAGTACTGTAACACTATTTAGTCCAATCACTTAATTTTAGGGATGAGGAAACAAGCCCAGAGAGATTATAACCTCTCGTGCATGTCATCATCACAGGCAAAGCCAGAGCTGAAACCTTGATCTCCCAAAGCCCCAACCTCTGACCAGCTCTGCCCATGGACAATTGACCCCTCCAACACCACCACAAAGGCCATCTCCCAGGGGTGACATCTGATCAATTATCAGGCAGGCAACAGGTGTTGTGACACTTTGTGTTTGATAGAGACAGTGAGGAAAACCACCCACAAGGAGAGCCCCTCACACCTTTCCCGCCTCTGCCCCAACCCATCTCCGAGTAGGGAGCCGCCAACTCTTTGGTGCCATTTTGGAGCGAAAAGTGTGCATCCTGCTGGACACGTCAGGGTCCGTGGGCCCCTACCTGCAGCAGGTGAAGATGGGGCTGGTTCTGCTGATTTGGGAACAGCTGCGCAAGCACTGTGACAGGTAGGGGCGGGGGTGTGTGAGGGTGGGGGTCAGGAAGATCAAAGGGGCAGCTCCCAGGGCTTCCCTGGCAAGCACTCTCCCTCCTCACAGGTCCAATGGGCCTGAAGGTTTCTGAAATGCTCTTCTGAAGAGCTTATTTGAGCAGGAAAGAGTGCTGTGTTCTGCTCTGCTGCAGAAGCAAAGCGGTTTTCAGAAGCCCGTCTCAGGCCCAGGACAATTGCACATGGAGCAAAGGACCCACCGTGTGGGCTGGAATCAAGGCTTTCAATGGATCGTGATTCTCAAGGGTGGGGGGTGGATGGATTGCACTGTCTACCCAGAAGGGCTGACCCTAGTGGGACAGCAAGACTCTCTGTCCTAGGCTGGGACTCATACTTGCTGTCATATTAATGAGAGTAAACATGCATTGAGCACTTTCTGTATACATGTACTTCACAGGCAAGATTTTATCCATCCTCACAATGACCCTCTGAGGTGTTGCTGTTCTTACCCCCTTTTTCAGAAAGGGAAGCTAGGACTTAGAGAGGTTACCCAAGATCACATAACCAGCCAGTGGCTGAGCTGGGACTTAAATCAATTTCTGTCTGCATCCAGAATCTTCCCTATGTACCCTCTCACTCTCAGGTGGCCCACAGTCCTCTCCCCAAGGGGCCCCAGGGCTCCCTTTAGGGGTCTTCACTGGCAGGTGTGACCAGTCCTCATGGAGGTGACTTCATCAGAATTCCATATAAACCGGCCTGTTCTAACCAATCTCTATCTTCTCCTCTCTGCTCCCCACCCTTCCTTCCCCTTCCCCAGTTTTAACCTGCTCAGCTTTGCAGACGGTCTACAGCCATGGCAGGACACTCTGGTGGAAACCACAGATGAAGCGTGTCACGAGGCTATGCGATGGGTAACCCACCTGCAAGCTCAGGGGAGCACCTCAGTCTTGCAGGCATTACTGGCAAGTTCCACCACTGAGCCCGATCCCAAGCAAAGCAAACACCACCGTCCCCGTGCTGATATTGCACGATGCTTTAGGATTGACAGAGAGCACTTTAGAACACACACAGTGTTACATCATCTCATCTTCCCAACAACCCAGTGACAAAGGGGTTTTCATTGTCACTGTATAGATGAAGACACGGGGGCTCAGAGAGGTTAAGTGACTTGCTTGGGGCTAACCAGCTAGCAAGTCAGCCAAGCTTTTCCTCCTAAACCTCAGCAACTTCCTTGGTCTGTCTTAGGCTGGAAGCAGAGTCTCCCAGTCTTAAAGGACAAGTTGGTAGCATCCAACCAGATGCATGTTTTTGGAGACAGCAGGGACCCTTTCAGGCAGTTGGGTTCTGTCCTTCTGGATGAGCCCCTCCGCTGAGCATGACAACCGTCCTGTGCTCTTTCAGAAAGCTTTCAGTTTTCAGGATCTGGAAGGATTGTACCTCCTGACCGACGGGAAGCCAGACACAAGCTGCAGCCTTGTTCTAAATGAAGTCAGAAGACTCAAGGAGAAAAGAGACATGAAAATCCACACTGTTTCCTTGAACCACTCAGACAGGTGGGCGAGAAGGAGCGGGCTGGGTTTCATTCCTTTCCCAGGACCACACATCTGCGGGGGAGGTCTGAGCTTCTCACCTAAGCCAGGGACTCACTTAGATGCTGGTCTATCCAGGCTCTAGTCCTTACAGGCTCTAGTCCTCAGGAGATGTACTGTCTTCTCAGGGAGCCCTGGGTGGGTATCAGCGGAAGCCCCTCTCTCAACCCCAAACTTACCCATCTCTTCTGACTTTGTTCACCTTGGAAACAGTTTGCACCAATTCACCCAGTCGCATTGTATTCTCCCTCCTGATCTTTCTTGAGAACATATTTATGAATATTTAGGGGAAGGGGCTGGCTGATTAGCTCAGTTGGTTAGAGCGTGGTGCTGATAACACCTAAATCCAGGGTTCGATCCTTGTACTGGCTGGACGCCAAAAAAAAAAAAAAAAATTTTAGGGGGAGAGGTTATTTTTATAAACGATTACTATGGAGGAACATGTGTTAGACATGAAACTCAGATCCTTCAGAATAAAACTTCATTATTAGCCAAACTGATTGCTTAGGTGCATATTTTATCTCTGTCTAAACCATGAGCTCCCTAAAGGTCATACTTGTGTCCCCTACAGTCCTAACTCAGGGTAGCCACTAGATAGATGTCCAATAAAGGGATGAGGGCCAGACTGTGCTGGCGTGGCCTTTGAGAGAGTCTAGGCTAAATGTCGACACCAACACAGTGACTCTCCTCTCAAGCAGCAGCAGTAGCAGTGGCCACCCACAGACGGGCAGGGAAAGTGTACCTGACGATGCTAACAATGGCCCCAACAGCACAAGCCAGGGCCCATTGCTGACCTGGGGGCTCACGGGGACTTGCCCGGTCAGTTGGCCTCCCCCAGCCCTCTGTTCCTACCTGCAGAGCAGCTGCTGAGTTCCTGAGAAAGCTGGCTTCCTTCACCGGGGGGCGCTATCACTGCCCTGTTGATGAGGACACGCTCTGCACAATCCACGGCCTGCTGACCAAAGGCTTCGTTGATGAAGGGGTAGGTTGTGGAGATGCTGGGTGTGAGGTCTGCTGAAACAGCTCAATGAAATATCACGGGCATGGGGTTTTCCTTCTAACTAAAGGGATCCCTGCTTATTTTGTGAGACAAAGTATTGACTAAAAAGGGTTGTGTTTCTGTGCTCTCCTTTTAGGCTGACTCTACTCCAGGTTGGGAAAGAAGTAGGTTTGGGGATATATGTAATAACACTCAGACCAGCTTACATCCATTCAGCACTTACTATGTGCAAGTATGTTCCTTTATATAGATGACCTCTTTTAATCCTCCTGACCTTTATTATACCCATTTAACAGATGAACAGGCTTAGTGGGATTTAGGGAGCCCAAGACACCCAAGTTCTTAACCTCTATGCTTTAATTCCTGCATTTTTCTGTCTTCCTGTGTTCAATTCACTGAAACACAGGTATTCAAATTATCTGTTAAGCAGTAGATCTAGTAAAGTCATAGCTTATCTATTAAGTAATAAACCTAATAAAGTCATAGGTTCCAATGATCCTCTCTATGTGAAAATAACCTAAGTGATTTATTTTCAAGAATAGCTTAACAAGGGTTGCTTGACTAACTTGTGGTGTGATAATCCCTAAATGTACCCTTTCCCTCGGGTGACTTCTCAATATGGTGGCTGTCACCTTGTTCTTTTTACTTCCTGGTTCTTCTTCCTCCTCAGGACTTCTGGTGGGCCTTTTTGGCAGGCTTGTCCTGAGCCCACCCCTTTTTGCTAGAGGGAAGGGGACAATAAATGCCTTATAAGGAAGTAATAAAACTTAGGTGACCTTCGGGAAGATTGTGCATCCCATAGTACTCAACCAATGAGGAACTGGGGGAGCGACTTGCGCACTAGGGAATAAATTGCTCCATGTAACTGTTTTGGGTGTACCTGGTTCATCAGACACCCGATCTTGCAAGACTGCTATTAAAGTCTCACTTCACTGTACCTCGTGTCTCCGTGTCCATCCTTTGGCATTGGATGGGTGAGGGCATTTCTCACACTTTCCTGATTTGACAGAAAAATTATGAACATATTTATACCTTTTAGGAATGCAGTGTTGTCAATGGTAACATTTCCAGGGCAACAAATTATCAAATAGGACAACCAATCAGAATTCCAGATTTCTCTTCAGAGGTTAAAGGTTACTTTCACAGGACATGGCATAATTTCTGAAGTCTGGGTGGCCTTACATTACTCCTTTGTTCAAGAAACTCTTCTAGGGACAAATGTTACAGGTGATACAGACAGCAGAACAAGTTGGCATATATGATGACTATTAGTCCAAGTGTTCTTATTACACAGGAAAACAGATAATATAGTGAAGGTTCCCAGCTTAATACCTTATCTGAGTGGATGCTTTGAATAGTCTGTGCACACAGAATGGTGACAACTATCTTTCTTTTTGGCTGCTTGCTGGTGTGGGGATCCGAACCCTTGACCTTAGCATTATAATACCACACTCTAACCAACTGAGCTAACCGGCCAGCCCCGTTCACACAGAATGGGATCACTCTGCTGCCATTGCCAGGGAGAAGGGATAGCTTCAACCCTTTTGCAGAACTTGCAAATTGGGGGCCGGCCTGGTGGCGCACTCGGTAGAGTGCAGCGCTTGGGAGCGCAGCGGCGCTCCCGCCGAGATTCAGACCCCATTTAGAGACCGGTCCGCTCACTGGTTGAGCGCGGTGCGGGCACGACACTGAGGGTTGCGATCCCATTGCCAGTCGCAGTACGGGCGTGACACTGAGGGTTGCGATCCCGTTACCGGTCACGAAAAAAGACAAAAAGGAAAAAAAAAAAAAAGAACTTGCAAATTGTGACAAAGTGTGTTTTTAAGGCTGGACTCTGGAATTTCATTAGTTAACATAAGAAAAAAGTGGCTGTGAGTCTCTATTTTACTAAAAGAAATGGAGAAAGGGCTCAAGAGATTTTACTGAATAGTGGTAAAATAAGGAGAGTACACCATCTCTGATCTCCTGAGCCCAGAGAGGTGCCGAATTTGCTGAAGTTCAGAGACCATGGTGCTTTGCCACTCCCCTCCCTACGGTAACTCTAACATCTTATCTTAAAGTGTCCCATTTGCAGAATGACTGCCTTGGCCGGGGTGAGCCTCCGGTCTCTGGAGACACAAGACAAGGCCCACAAGATTTCCTGCATTGGGTGGGAGGCTGCATTTAATTAGCCCTAAAATAATTCTTTGGAGATTTTGGATTTTCAGGTCCCATCCAGTTATTTAATGGATCAAACTTCACACTCATTTCCCCTTTTCTAGGATCCCACGTTGCCGGTATTTGAAGGAGATGATTTAAGGAGACTAGCCCAGGAGATCACCAAGGCCAGAAGCTTCCTCTGGCGGGCCCAGTCCTTCAGGTATGCCCTTCCAGCGCCCCACCCACCTGCCACGTGGCTTCAGCACATCCAGACCCTGGGCTCCGTCAGGCAGGGCCCACCCTGGTCATGGCCCCCTGCTCCAGACCCTCTGCCCTGCTTCTCCCCACCAGACCCAGAAGTCTGGGCACCAGGGAGACTAATTTCCCTGATCATCTGCCCACCAGATCCCAACTCCTGAAGAAAAATGACATGGAGCCAAACATCACTCATTTTTAGAGAAGCATTCTCAGGTAAGAGGAGGGGATAGACTCCCCCTCCCACTACCCCCCCCCCTATTACGTGCCCTCTAAGGGCCAGGCAGCATGCTGTTTTGTGGACAGTAGTAACTATGGGGAGAGATAAGGATTCCTCTAAACAGAAAGGCCATCTACAGAAGATCAACCACTGAGCACAACTTAGCCCTGAGGGTACATGATGTGGAACCTGGTGACCCATAGATTGTCCACAGGACACATGACTTCAGGCCCCAGGGCTCTCTGGAAGCTGAGGAAGGAAAGGCTCTATTCTTTGCATGTGGGGCCATCCCTGGGTCTATCCTAACTCTCCTGCCCTGTCCCCCAACACACCCTACACTCCAGCCCAAGATTGTCACTCACTGGGAAGTCCTACCCCGAGCCCCCTGCCTGGAAGGTGGTGCTTGCCGCCCTCTGCCTGTGACTCCTGCTTGTCCATCAAGGCACAGCTCCAGTGACATCAACTCCACTGTGGAGGTGTCTCTGTGACCCACCTAGAGCTGGACACCTCTGGTCTCCTCTCACGGTGTCCTGACCAACCATCCCTCTTATTGCACTTAACATTCCATGTCATAGTTCCTTGCTCGCTTCCCTAACTCTTCCATGGGGCTGGTGTCCTAACCATCTGTGGGTCCCCAGAACTTGCCACTTGGCTGACAAGTCATAAACAGCGAGCCTCGCGCTGAGTCGTGGGAGCCCATCTCTGGAACCAGCCGGCTGGGGTGGTCTCTACCTGGTCCTCCTGTGCTTTCCACCACCCTGGTCCCTGGGGGCCAATGCAGATTCACGTCAGCCCATTTTGGAGGATGAAGAAACATATGAGCTTCCTGCCACCCCCCGCCCCTGCTCAACCAAACAGAACGGAGGCTGCTCTGGAACCCAGGCCAGCACAAGGGCTCTGCTCAAGCATGTGGAAATTGGGTGGGGTCTTCAGGGCCCAGCCCTACTGCGAACATATAAAGTAGATGTGTCATGTATTATGTCATCTGGGGTCGTGTTCTAAAATTTCAAAAAATCACTTTTATTTCATTAATAAGATCAAAATGACTTTAACTGTTTGATCATTGGGGTGTATGTGTGTAAATTTTTGGCAAGATAAAACTTTATGGAAAGATTCATAGCCAGAATATATAAAAAACTTCAAATCAATAAGAAGATAAGCATCTCAACTTTTTTTAAATGGACAAAAGACTCAAGCACAAATGAACCATAGGAACATGAAACGGTGCTCAACAGCCTTACTTATCAGGGAAATGCAAATTAAAGCCACAGTGAGCTACCATTGCATACTCTCTGGAACTGCTAAAAATAGACTGACAGTATCAAGATGTGGAACAATTGGAACACTCATATATTGCTGGGGTAGGGCTGGGGGTGAGGGAGTGTAAGTTGGTTCAACCACTTTGGAAAACTATCTGGCGATTTCTACCAAAGTAGACACACATGCCTACTCTGTGAGCCAGCATATGTTCGACAAAAGACACACAAGAATGTTGATAAAGCTTTACTCATAAGAGCTTCAAATTGGAAACCACCCAATGGTCCATCAATAGTAGAATGGGCAAATAAATCGGGATACATTTGTACGTGAATACCACACGTCTACTTAAAAAGAGCAAACTACAGCTATATTCAATGAGATGCATCAATCTCATGAACAATATTGGGCAAAAGAAAGCAGACGCAAAAGAGGACACACATACCGTAAATTTCCATTTATGTGAAGTTCAAGAACAGGCAAAACTAATTGTTGGGGAGGGACATCAGAATAGCGGTTACCTGTAAGGGGGTGCGGGAAATGTTCTATATCTTGACATGGGTGGTAGTTACAATGGGGTATACATAAGTAAAAATTTATCAAGTTGTTTAAAAAGACAGTTTGCTAAGGTTTGACAAGCTCCTGCTTTGGCCAGGCTCTGTGCTGGGCCCAGGGCGACAGCCCCTGCCATGGTGAATCTCAGTCTGGTCGATCTTGGACAGCTGCTGTTCTCAGTCACCTTTATAAACACAGAGAAAGTGGCCTGTGGTGGTTGTATTCGTTTGCTGGCACTGTCATAACAAAGCACTACAAACTGAGTAGCTGGAACAACAGAAATATATTGTCTCGCAGGTCTGAAGGCTGGAAGTCCGAGATTAAGGTACTGGCAGAGCCAGGCTCCCTCTAAAGGTGCCAGGAAGGATCTGTCCAGGTCTCCTGGATTCTAGGAGTTCCTTGGCTTGTGGCAGCGTAACTTCAGTCTTCACGTGATGCTCTCCCTGTGTGCATGTCTTTGTCCAAATTCCCCATTCTTTATAAAAACACCAATCATACTGGAGTAGAGGCGCACCCTATTCTACTATGACCTCATCTTAACTAATTACATCTGCAATGACTCTATTTCCAAATATTCTGGGGTACTGAGTGTTGGGACTTCAAGGTTATGAATTTTGTGGGGATGCAATTCAGCCCATAACTGTTGCCTGGTAAACTATGTTTCCTGCAAGACAATGTCAGCAGCTGGTAGAGCTGTTCCTGGGGAATATGAGTTCTCTGCCTTGGGAGAGGGAGAGGCTGGTGTTTGTGCATAGAAGGATGGACCAGAGACGCGACTTGTAAATGGTGAAGCATAGGACCTGGGTTCTAATCCCAACCTCTCATATAACAACAGCTACCACCAGTGGAGCACCAACTGGGCAGGCACCGTGTTCAGCATTTTGCATATACCTTGGCAGTGATAAGCCTCATGACATCACAACTGTGAAGTACACACCATTTTCAGTTTAAGGATGAGGAATCCGAGCCTTGTAGCTGCCTAAAGACACAGAGGAAGAAAGTGGCAAAGGCAAGATTTAAACTCAGGACTGACCCCATGGCCTTTTCTCACCACACTCGAGGCCCTTTTCATTTCTTTGAACCTGTTTCTGTCTCTAAAATTGGGCTAACAGAGCTGAGAGGACTGAAGATACCTCACTATCTGTCACATAGCATGTGTGTGCTAAGATTTTATTTTTCTCTTCCCCACACCTGTGCCCACCCAGAACGTTCATAAGGAGGAGTCTTTCCTGTTGCCCTCTTCAGACCAAAGTAACCAACCCTGGGCTGGCCAGTTCGGTTGGTTAGAGTGTGGTGCAGATAACAAACACCAAGGTCAAGGGTTCCATTCCTGTACCGGCCTGCCACCAAACACAAAGTAACCAGCCCTCTCTGCTCTCAGCCCCTGTAACTCAGAGCAGCTGTGTGAGCTGTTGGGCACATACCCGTCTCTGCTGCTGCCACTCGAATATAAGCTTTCCAGGGATGGTGTGATCCATCTGGGTCCCCAGCACAGGGGAAAGGCCAGCACTGAAGAAGCACCTATTAAACGTGGAATGTTGGGACTGGTGAATGGATGAGCATAGAGATGGGTGGAAGAATGTGAGAGGAAGGGTCGATAGATGGGTGAGAGGAGGGAAAGAAAGATCTGTAGAATGAGCTGGGTGGATGAAAAGTTGGATGGAGAGGTGGAAGGTTGGATGGATGGATGGAAAATTAGATGGACATGTGGAAAGACGGATGGATGGAAGGTTGGATGGATAGGAGGGATTGACGAAAAGATGGATGGATGAATGGGTGGAAGTTTGAATGAAAAACAGATGAAGTGACAGACTGATGAATAGATGGATGAAAGGACAAAAAGATTAGTAAAAAATGGGTGGAAGGATAGACGAATGGACAGATGAATGAAAAAATGTTTGGGATGATGAACAGATGAAAGAGAGGAAGGAGGGAAGGGAGGAGGAAGGAAAGAAGGCCGAACCAGGAGGAACCGGTGGTGGACCGGAGGGATAGGTGAGTAGAGGAGGAAACACGTTTCCCGGGTCCTAGGACGGCCGCGGGCAGGACGGAGCGCGGCACACAGGGCCTTTGCGTCCTTCCCCAGCAGAAGCGCGGCCCATCCCCGCCCGCCGGGCCTGTCTCCCTTCTGTCGAGCCCGCGGGCCCGCCCTAGAGAACGCGGGGGAGCGGGCACGGGGAGCGGTTCCGGGACCCCGCCCCCACCCCCGCCCTGCCCCAGGAGGAGCTCCGCCCCCCGCCGGCCCC